ATCATTCATACACATTCCAAATTCTACCGGATAAATAAGGATAGAATGTGAACACAGTAAACACAAGCTTACCTAGACTGCTTTCTTTTGTGCTGGCAGACCCTATAACTTTAGTGTGAAAGGGACCTCTTTTGTAAACAAGTCTGTAGGAGGAAGCTGCTTGCTCATTCCTTTGCATTGGTATGGATCCTGCTTTATTGATACAAATATTAGGTCAATTTTGTTATATTATATTTCTACTCTTTATTGTATTGTGTTTGTGCACCTCATTTAAAAATATAATGTATAATTAAGAAATATAGGTTAATAGATGGTCATCTATAATAGTCAAGCGTATAGTCATGTTAGTTAGGTTTTCTGGATATATAGAGATATATTTCACATAGATAGGAATTCTTCAAATCTTTCGGAGACCTTCAGAATATGTCACTTAAAATGTATTAATAACTTAGGCTTTTCATGACATGAGACACATCTGCTCCTCGCAGCACCAATTGCTTCAAGAGGAGGATGGGCATTGAAGAGGCCCCTTATGGAGTTTGGCTCCATCTGGGCAAGAAGCTGTTCTTGCCTGGACTGCTTGATGTTATGCTGTGTAGAAACTGGACATTCAGGACCCACAGAAAAATGACTGCTGAATTTGCCTAAAAATGGGATGGTCCTTTGGGGTTCCTGCTTCATTAAAGAGTCTGCCAGACATTCTGCAGGACACAGAAGAAAGCAATTGATGAACTTTGCCATTACAAGGCAGAACAGATCAAATTTCCCGCTTCATGGAAAAGTCTGGTGGATACAATGGGCCTGCAGGCTAAAGATGGATGCTTCAACAATAAAGAAGAACTTTGGGTGACTGTCCAGGCAGTGAGATGTCTCTGTTAATTCTAGAGTTTTGGAAGTTGCTTACAATGCACTTCCTGTTAACTTAGGTAATACTATGTTCTTCTGGAGTCTTTGATGGAGTTGAAAAATAGATAGTTATAGTTACAGTTTTCCCTGGTTATGATAAAGTATATATAAATGTCATAACTATAATTCTTGCTTGATATCTGTTTTTGTTATATGCAATTTTACTATGTTAAAATTAAAACCTCCCTTTCATTTAAACAGAAAAGGAGAAATGGTGTGGGACATCCTTCTGTATATGTGTTGCTTTTATTGGTTAATGAATAAAGAAAATGCTTTGGCCTGTGATAGAGCAGAATAGAGCTAGGCAGGAAAGCTCAACTGAATGCTGGGAGAAAGTAGGCAGAAACATTGAGCTGCCAGAGGAGAAAGATGCAAGCCACCAGTTGGAATGTTGCTAGCAGGTTATGAGCCTTGTGGTAAAATATAAAATAATAGAAATGGGTTAATTTAAGATGTAAGAGCTAGCTAGAAATATGCTTAAGCTATTGATACACTTATACTAAAGAAAATGATTATGAGGAATAGCTTCATTGACTTTAAATCAATGATCTTGGATTTCATAGTTGTAGTGTTAATAGTAAGATTATTTTTTAAAAAGCCAAGCAAACAAACTTTCATTTGTTAGATTTGACTATGCAAGTTTCTTATTTTTCCTTTACCTTGTAGTACTTTCTGTTTCTGAAGAAAAAAATACCAATTTGAAAAAAATAGTCACATATAAATTGTATGATCAATTAAGCAATGAAAGAAAAATTTTGTTTTAATACAAAATTCAATTTAAACCATATCCAAAAACAACAGGAAAAAAATAGTTCGTTTGATAAAACTAACTATAACATAATTCTGAACCCAGTTCACATTTCCACTTCTGCCCTTAACTGCTTGACACAGAGCAGAATTTATAACTATGTCTTGATCTGTACATCTGTACTTGTACCCTTATGCCTGCCCCTGTCTATCCATGTGTCTGTTTTTATCATCTATGCACACATACATGCATGATGTATATATGAATGCATGCATGTATTATGTATTTAGTGATCATCTATCTATCTATCTATCTATCTATCTAACTATCTATCATCTACCTATCATCTTTTTATCTACTATCTATCTATCTATCTATCTATCTATCTATCTATCATCTTTCTATCATCTATCGTATGTTATCTATCTCTATCTAGCTTAATATCTATTGCCAATGCATATCTGTTAATATCTATTAACTTATCTATATTTTCTATATCTTTGTGTTTCCATAATAATTTCTGTATCTTATATATCACTAAAACTATAAATGCATTGCCAGGCAGTGGTGGTGTACGTTATTAATTCCAGCATTCTGGAGGCAGAGGCAGGCGAATCTCTGTGAGCTCGAGGCCAGCCTGGCCTACAGCGCTACTTCCAAAACTACAGAGAAGCCCTGTCTTGAAAAACAAAAAAGCAAAAAAGTTACAAATGCATTAGAGAACATAAAAATATTATAAAACAGAGGCATTCATTCAAAATAAGAAGCAGCTGGATTAGATGCTTGGAGAAACCAAATACAGAGGGGAAATCTGTGAACACAAGAGTAATCTTGAGGAACTCCTAACCTAGATCTCTACTGACAAATTTCAGTGGCCACACCTGTACAAATGACAAACAGCACCAAATGCCACCTTAATTCAGGAACACAAAATATGCACCTACACGTTCCTTTCTCTCAGCTGGCTTGTCAGCATACAGTTGCAAATTCAGTTCCTCCACTTTCCACAGTCGTGGAATGGTTCTGAGTGTGCCTGCATTCGGGGACCATATCCTGGCCTGATCCCTTTGAGCTTACACCAACAAGTAAGCTAATGTGGAAGTACTCCATAATGTCTGTAGAATGAATCTTGCCATTATTAATCTCTTCTATCCCTTCTGCCAACCTCCATCTCCCTCTCCTCCTCAGCCTCTCTTCTTTTTTCTCTATCACATTCTTCATCACCTCTGCTTTTATTCAAATCAACGAGTCATCCCCATTGCTTGATAATGGACGCTCTTTGACTTCTTTAACTTTTGACTGATTCTGACATCTGGGATTTGGATTTTTGAACTTGGACACAATGTTTAGTCGTTACTAGAATAAAAGACTCCCAGGTATGAAAACCTAGCCCTACCCACCCACTGCTCCAGGGCTGAAAGTTTGCTCCCACTGCATATAATTGCATATAAGTATTGATGAAGAGCATACTTCCTCTCCCATCCTACACAGGCCAGTCCATCACTGTGTATCCACACATGTTTCAGGAAATGTGTCTTTGCTTGGAGGCAAAAGACACGAATCATGCACTAATCTTTACTTTTTGCTTTTCTACCATGGAATTTATGAGATTAGAAAGAATAAACATATTGTGATTAAAATTGTTATGATTCAGAAGCAACCATTAATTTGTTTCACTGAGATTCTTCTTCAAATCCCTCAGAGTGTTCTTCTTGTGGCAAGCCATGTGTTTCTGCAGGCCCACATATCTTAATATCAATGCTAAGAAGTTTCCACATGGGAAGCAATGGTGAATGGGTTCCTTCTAGTTTTCCATCACCAATGAATACAAATGAAGTAATTCCAGTTGCCTGATGAGTCTCCTTGCTAGTGATAACACATTTATTGAGATAGAGTTCTTGAGTTTTCATAGATCAGTTATATGGGAAATCTGATATACATGCTAAATTTTGTCTATAAATGCTTTTCTTGGGAGAATTTTCACAACTTTCATCAAATCTAAAAGAATCAATGTTGCCAAATGTTAAGAGTAACTGGTTTGGAGAATGAATGTGGTGTGAATACTCAAAATTGAAAATATTTCAGGTCTTCCTATTATGAATTTATCATGTATTCTTACTAACAAATATCTTTAAAGAATCAAATGCTTTTTTGAATCGTTAAAAAAGTATTCACAACTTACTTAATTATAGGAGGCCATATACATATATTTTCAATGTGTCCTGATACTAATTTTAATTTATTTAAATAATTGCTTGACAGAGAAAGCATATGGTGTTGCTATAATAGTCCTGAGTGGAGTTAGAAGATTCTGTTCTGATCCCAGTTTTAGCACAAAATTAGCATACGACCTTGATCAAAGTCATCTGATCTGGCAGAGCTTTTGACATTCTTAAAGTGACTTCAGATTACTTTTTGTTAAGAATCGACATAAAAGGGTACAGAATATAGGTTCTCTAAGGACAGAAGAGGCCTGGGACCCAGTCTAACCTTTGTGGACTTTCTGCCACGGGGCTATAATGTGATCTTCCTGGCTCTGGCTGTGGAAAGGCACAAGGCATGCTATAGATGTCAATCGTCAACCTTAGGCTGTGACACGCACTGAGAAGACTAGAGGACTAGACACAGAAAACCTTTAGATGTAAACACAACTTGGTTCTGCACGAAGTTTGCATCTTTGTAGTTGCTGGACCATGCTTGCCACTGAGGAAGATCTCAATGGATGCCTGCTAAGTCAGTTAGGAATAACATGTCAAGTATTTGGTAACTAACATACTACTTTAATCTCAGTACTTGGGAAAGAAGAGGTAGGCAGATCTCTGAGGAACTTGGTCTACATAGAAAGTTCTAGGCTAGTCAGGGATACATAGTGAGACCCTGTTTCAAAACAATCAACTCTAAGAACTAATACATGAAAATGTAAGACTATTATACTAGTGTTAGTATATTGTAGGCACTGTGCAGGGGGCTTTTCTACTTAGCATCTCATTTAATCCTTGCATCAGCCCCAAGAAGAAAGTTTGGTAGTGGCATTAAGCCTCATTTTACAGTTATTGGGCAAATTGACCTACAGTGTTAGGTCAATTTTGCATCTCAGCCATCCTGAGGTTGGAATGCTTTTACATGCCAATGATCACACTGCTAAGACATGCTACCTCCTAGTGATTTATTAATATTTCCCCTTCTATCTACTTCTCTTAATTACCATCTTTCTTCCCCATTTTGACACTAATTCTGACAAAACTAAGCAGATATGAACCCATCATTAGGGTTAGGAATAGCGGTTCTTGCTTTCGTCCATTGTTAGCATGAATATGAGTAAGGGTGGAGAAATCCCGAAACTTACTAGGTCCAAGGCGGCGGCTAGGATGGAGGCATCTGGAATTGTCCCTGGCTCACAGCAGTTGAGTAGAAATTGAAAACGTTTCATGCCTTGCCGGATTGCTCCCAGATTCACTACATTTTTGCTTTTTCCACCATCTTGGTTGGGAGAAAGATGATCGTCAAAACTGTGGCAACCTGTAGCGGTTGTGTCATTGTGAAAAGAGAGAAAGAAATGTATCACAAACCAGTATCAAAGTCATACCAGTATGTTTTCCGTACTGATGGTCTGAAAACTCTCTCCCACTTTTTCCCTTCCTCCACACCTCTTAAGATGATTGCTATGAACATATTTTGACTTGTATTAATTGGTTACATGTAACATACAAAAATTCAGGATTTTCACTAAACAACTTCCCTGTAGGGTCTAATTTCTTTGTTAGTCTATCTCTAAGTTGTGCATGAGATTGGCGTATTTGAAATAAACAAAAGTGGGAGCTTAAGTTTTAGGCTCACAGTGGAAGAAGAGAGTGCAGAGAAATCAATGGGAATTACAACAACCCAAAGATATTTTCAACTTTTCCATGAAGAAGAATATTCTGCACTTGGGAAAGTCTGGTGCCTTTGTTAAATAGGGCAGCTATAATGAAATACCACAGGTCAGCAGACTTATAAACCACTAATATCTGCCTCTCACAACTCTGTGGCCTGCAAATCTGATCTTGGGTTAAAGGACAGTAAATTCTTTCTGGTTTAGTTATATTCTCAAATGTCCTTTCCTTGTATGTGCACAGAGATATCTCTCTTTTATATAAGAGTACTAAAACCCATTCATGGTCATGTGATCCTCATGATATCTTCTAAACCTAACCAACTTTCCAAAGTCTCATTTCCAAATGAGTTGGAAGTTCATAACAAGAACTTTGTATGGATGCAAACATTCTAACTATAGCATATGGAAATCTATAGTACATGGAAAACATTCATTAACAAGGAACATTTCCCACCCCATCCTCTTAGGTTTATGTTGCAGGTACATAGAGTTAACGCTCCAGTGTGTAGAAAGAACTTAGAAATATGGCCCCAGCACCAGCCAGGTGACATCGAACTAGCACAGCACAGACCTCAGGACACACATTAGCATCATTCTCAAAAAGCAAACAGGGAAACATTGTCTTTATGATGCTGATGATTCTGAACACTAGAGATTGTCCCTGAAATTCCACAGAAGTGGATAGAGAGTGAATAAACTGGAATGATGAGGCTGTCAGGAAGAGCCTCGGGAGGAGTTTTTCCCCTTTTTCAGTACCAAGAAACAAATCTAAATCCTCAAATATTAAACAAGTGCTCCACAACAAACCAAAAGCTCCAGCCTAGGTGGACACATGAAACCTTATCATGACACTCATTGATAGAATGATGAACTAGCAAAAGCTGACCAATACAAACAGCTATGTGATAAGAACACTGATCATGTATTTTAAAGTTCTGTTCACACATTTGCTACAACCATGACTTAGTTAGACTATTGGCTACACTAATTAATTTCAAATATGGCCTGCTGTATTCCATCTAAAGCTCCACAGTTTACAATGCTCACCATCTACCACACACACACACACACACAGAAAAAGAAGTCAGGATATATTAGAACCAGAAAATCTTCTATGGAATAAAAGCTAAAGAAACCAAAGATATTTAGCAAAAAGGGATCAAAAGAGAGAACAGGGAATGAGTGAGACGGTTGCAGCATTGTGTGCTGCTATGTATGTGTGGTTACAGATGTCATCACTAGGACAGATCAGCAAGTTTATGGGCAAATATATTTTCAGATTACAAGGAAAGATTTCCTAACAATTAAAGCTGTCTGACTCTGGAACAAATTGCTTTGTTAAGTTGCACACTCCCCCTCAGCGGAAGTGCACAGAGGGAGGGTGGCCACCTGTCAGCCACGCAGTGAAGCGATGAACAGAACTCTGAAGCTGAGTGGTGGGTGGATAGAAGGTCCTGTGACTCTCAGATTCTAACAAAGACAAGAAGTCATGTCTTATTCTCTGCACACTCAGTGCCCACCAGGGGGTGAGAATCACAGTAAGGCTTCCATAAATGTCTCTTCCACAAAACTGGTAATAAAGAGGCTATAGATAGCAGGGAAAGACACATTTAAAGAACAAAGGAAAAGATAATACAAATAGAAAATGACTATTTTTTAAGAGACAATTTTGGGGAAAAAAGAAACAGAGAAGTTAATTTAAGTAACTGAAAAGAAGAAAAGCTGAACAGGATCCTTGGGTTATTGACAGTTACCAAGACGCTTGAAGAAATTCTCCTCGTCTTCTCGGCCATTCTCCATCCCACTCCCTGGCCCACCTTCAGAAAGCTTGACAGCACTGGTGAACTTGACCTGGGAGAAAAGAAAAGCCATTAGATAGTCAGCAGCCAGTCGCTGGGTTGGTTTTACTAGCCCTTGGTTAGAAAAGTATTGTTTAGGATGTGAAAATGTTCTCTGGCTTCTACAGCTAATAAGTGCTGTTATGTAATACATTCTCATGCTCCAAAAAAGATGTCACTGCAGGTGCAAGGAATGCCAGATGAAAGATCAGAAGCTGAATGGGAAAATAATTTAGTAAACAACTTAGACATGGGTAGTGTTAATTCGGGTAAAGTCCAAAACGAATGCTATATTCATTCTTAGTAACTCAACTACAGTTGGAAATCAAAGAGAAAGATGACAAGACTGACTTAGATTTACAAGTCAATTTATAATATAATATTCTCCCCTACTCCCTTCCTCTCTTCCTCCTTCCCTTCCTCCCTCTCTTTCCCTCCTTCCTTGTTTTTCACTCTCCTAGACTTGAATGTAGGAACTGTTACATAATAGCTACATCCCTAACCTTCGTGTTGACTTATTAACTCACTAAATTGTCCAGGCTAATCAGGCTAGTCTTGAATTCATTCTATAACCCCAGTTAGACTTGAACTAAGACTAAGTTCACTTAGTCTGACACTAAGCTCTCCAAGGCACTACCAGACTTGGCTTTATTGACTCAAGGTCAACTCAGTAAGACTTAAATAACTTAGTACAGAAAGGAAGCTAGAGGCAAGTAGACTCAAATAACTGTCTGGAATTTTTGCAAAAAAATGTGCATAAGAATTCCAATGATATTTCCTTAATTTCTGTCACTCTACTATATATATATATATATATATATATATATATAGATAGATAGATAGATAGATAGATAGATAGATAGATACACATACAGATATAGGCAAAACTAAAGCTATTTACTGCGTCTTCCCTTAGTTTTGCTCTTATGGAAGTTTAATAAGTAAATATTTCAGTTTCTATTGCTTGTCTAATATCTGTACTTGTTCAGCTCCAAGGTTTGTGTAACTCTTTCTATGCATTTAACATTCTTTAGCCCCAACATTTTTAATCAGCGATCCTGATGTTCGGGAGTAATGTCCTGTTTACCTTGGAGCTTTGCCTGATGAAAGACAGGCGATCCACAGAGCTAATGTCCAGGAGGTCCTCCACCCCATCTGCCAGGCCAGAGAGGGAGGAGCGCTTCAGCCAGTTTCCTAGGTAACAAAATTTTGAAAAATTAAGCTGTTATAGCCTTTGCTTTCAAACGGATTAAACAGAAATCCCAGCAAGTATTGAACTAGCAATGAAAGTCAACATGGCTCAAGTATAAATAGAAGCAAAAACAAGTTGTGTTCAGTATACATGTTTTGAATCAAAATTTTCAGGGTTGAACTATAAAATTACATGAGCACGTAAGTGTAGGACAAATAGACCTGGTCCCGTCCACTGCAGAAAACCACAATCCATCCCCTCATGCTAGCCAAGTTCTCCATATCTCTTGAAAAACCTATACATTTACCTCCTAAACAGTTCTCAAATCTGTCTATTTCTCTGTTTCTGCTTAACCCACAATCTAAATGTTCCTTTGTTTTTGCCTGGGCCACTGGCAGCTTTCTGTCAGATTCTCTTACCTCATGCAACTGTCTTGCATGGTTCTGCTCTCCTTGACGCTTGGGCATGTGAGGGACATGGTAAAGTGCCACCTGACATGCACATGATCTGGCTTGCTCTTCTGAGACAATGAATCTGCCATTTTCTTACGGAACCGGTTCCTCCCAGCTCCTCCCAGACTATGAGTTTTGCACATTAACCTTGGACTCTTCTCGTTCTTACTTTGTATGGATTAGGCTTTGTTTGTGTCTGCCTTCATAGTACTTTGTGTTTTCTCTTCACGAAATTCATAGTTTGCAACTGCCCTGAGTTTTGTGAGGATCTTTAGTGCTAAGTGGCTCCTGCTCAAATTCGGCAACACCAAGAGTTGTGTATTTTGCACAGAGCAGATGCATGCAGTGGATATTTGGGAAATATCTGCACTTAGCATAAGCGTGAATGAAATAATGGAAGGATGTCAGGCGAGGGCTTGCAACTTGAAAGCTTTTCTCCTCAGTCCACCAACCCACCCACCCCCATGCATGCCATGCTCAGTCTCAATTACTCATGGATTTGATGGCATGATAATAAGCAAATCCATAAATAAATACAGACATACTTTTACCTATGGGGAGTTTCAACTTCTTTCTCAGGGAGATTCTGCGCGACCGTGAGCGAGCACGCCGGTCCGAGGTGTTCCCTGAATGGGCTGTGGTACATTCTGAAGTGTCCTGCTCAGACTGGCTGCTGGTGTCACTTGCTGCGCTTTGGGATTTGAACATCTTGCGCCAGAAATCTTTCCGTCCCAGATTGCCCCCTTGCATTTGTTCATCGCTACATAGAAGCAGAGCATCAGGATAAATAACATCGCAGAGCTCAGGGTCCTCTCGGCTCCAGCTCTGGTTTTTAGGCAAATTGTGCAAGATGCTCTTTGATGGGGCGGATAGGAAGGAGAAGAGTGGGAGAAAGCATGGGAGCCGGGAGGCCAGCGTTGATTCTGAGCTCTTCCTGCAAACAGTGCCCTTTCACCAACCTAGTGAAGGTGGTCATTTTTTTCAATTTTAATAAAAAGACTAAATATTATTGCAGATGTCCACCTACAGTATGAATCATAACAGCAGAAGCACTTGAAATGCCAGTAAATATTTAACTTTTAAAAACCATCCTGGCTCTTGTGCAATGTCTCAGCCCTCACTGCAGCACAGTATCACACTTGCTACCCAATAAACCCTCAAAAATGCGCCCATGAGTTAATGAATGAGTGACTAAAATTTTATCATCATGTTCAAGGAATATGTCATTCTAAAGCCAATTAAGCTGAAAAACGTGTCAAGTTTAAAGTGAAAATATAGGTCTGACCAAAATGAACATGTCAGAATACCTGAACAAAGGTTTCCAATTAGGAAAAGTGACTAGTATTATGAGAACTTTATCTTGAAATAATAACAACAATAATAAACTAAAATTCCCATTTTTTATCCACTAAAGATGGATACAAAAGATTATGGTGGTTAGAAGAAAAAAATTAATGTCCTTAATCATACTGCCATTGAAGAGATAAAACATCTTGATATTTTTGGAACATTTATATTCTGTGCAACAAGGTGTGTTTTTGAAAGTCAATATCAAGCTCCTAAGCTAAGAAATTCAGTTTCTAAAAAGTAATATCAAGAAAAAGATGGGATTGTTCATAAGACAGGAAAAGGTATGCATAGCCAATGTTGAACAGAGGGTATAATCTCAGTGTCTAAATCTGGGACTTTCATATAGTGACTTTTACTATTTTACCAATTCTTTATGCTCTGTTTGGAGCTAAACTTGAACCCTTGCCATGACTTTGAGGATTTCCGTAAAGGAAAACCTAAAGTTTAATATTGAACAATGAAGTTAAAGAAAGCGAAATGCAAGCTTAAGGAAAGTCTGAAGGTTCATCCTCTAATCATTGCCTAGTCTTCATACACTGAATGCATATTATTCATTTCTTCTAAAACATATGTATTAATTATCTACAATGAGCAAAGTTACATCTTGGTGCTATACCTTTATCAAGAAATACATGTAGTTACTGGGCCCATTTACTTAACTAATTGCAAAAAGGCACAATCTCTATGATTCTGAAGCACACATGAACTGTGTGGACATTCATGGTTTTGAAGAACTCATTTGCATACTCCTATGTTTGATGAATGTTGGCTTCTCACTTTTAATTTACCTTGTTATGAAGGAAGGATACCCTAATACCTAGAATATTTGCAAAATTACTAGAACAATAATTAATATTATTAAATAGGGTTGTGGGAAGCAAAACTGTATACCTACAATGATGTATGTTTGAAATGTAGATCACTCTACTTGTATGTAAATAATTCCCCAAAGACAAATGAGTACCATGAACCTCACAAGGGCTTAGTCTGTGTATTTAATGTCTGTAGTAACCTCACACCTTCTGCAGGCACTAATTTGAAGATGCTTTTGACTTTCATTGGTATGAAAACCAGAGATAAAGCTGAGCAGTGGCAGTGCCTGCCTTTAATAGCAATCGGGAGGCAGAGACAGGCGGATCTCTATGAGTTCAAGGCCATCCTGGTCTACAAGAGCTAGTTCCAGGACAGGCTCCAAAGCTACAGAGAAATCCTGTCTCTAAAAACAAACAAACCAGAGATAAATTGATGTTAAGACACTGGAAAGGATCTAAGACCGCAGTGCTATGGAGTAGAGTCTACATTTCAGTTGAAATTCAGCAGTTTTGAAACATACCCTCACCTGGACCAATTGGTGGCACTGGGAATATAATTGTAAGATCTGAGGGCCATGTTTCAAGGAAATGAAAGCAAACTAATAAAAATCAAAATAAGAAACAAAAACCCAAAAGTAGTTTAGAAAATAAATTTTTTTTCAACGGAAGTGCCCAATTCTCTGCATTGAAGACAAAACTTGACTCTGCTTACTGTTCTGGTGTCTGTGAGGGGCGACCCGACATGAAGCTTCGACATTCCTCAGGGGCAGAGGACACCTGGCCCTTCTCTGCGACGCTTCCTGCCTCCGACCTGGACAAACGGCACATTGCACCAATCAGCACAGAGCAAGTCATCACTGTTTAATCTCTCATATGCTCTACAAAGGGAACCGCCGGCTACTGACATTTCTCACCATGACATTCTGGTTGCTAGCATTTCTCACCATGAGCCCATTTTGTGTGGAATTTATAGTTTACTACTAGACCTCATTCTTCACCAGTATTTCACTATAGCGAGCAGAGGCCTTTACATGCAAGCAAAACTTTTAGTCTAGAGGCTTTTAATTCTTGTAAGGGCTGTCTAACATACAGTAAGCGTGAAATAAACACACAATTACTGGAAAGATACACAACACAGTATTGTGTAGCAATTTTCCCTGGAGTGTTGGGAGTTGGATACTGTACAAGCTAAGTAGGTACTTTACTCCTGAGCTATGTCTCCGTCCAGCAGTTTATCTTTCTACTGTCTCTAGAACATCATTTACTGAACAAAAGAACATGGTGTCGGTAATTGTTTCTCTTTTCTTGGTAAAATTATAAATTGTATTTTAAAAAGACTAAAGCAAAGATAAAGTTTTACAATGTAATTAAGAACTATAGAGTGAAATTTGAGTATATGAGCTCATCCCATTTAAAAAATAAATAAATAAAAGGGGTTCATTTAATCCATGGCTCTGGGGGCTTGGGAACCCAAAGGCAGGTAATGATGACTTCTTATCATGTTGCTATGGCAAAGGATGTTACAGGGCATCACATGGTAAAGAGTCGGCTGTTCATAGAATGCTCACTTAAAGCCATTGCCATGATAATCTATGAAAACACTAATCTACCCATGTGGTCAATCTTTACAACCCAATTTTCCCAAAGCTTCCACCTTAAACATTCATTTATTTTAAAGCTTCAGTCTGACTATGTGAGCGATACCAGTTGTATAAGATAGCTTTACCATCCCTGTGCCGACTTTGTAGCAATTCGGGAGACACACGGACAGCATGCTGAAAAGAAACATCCTCCTGACAGTTAGCAAACACTAATATTCAGAGAGCTTCCCACCTTTTACCACCTGCGGGCTTAGACTCCTGTCCATTTTCCTCCACCTTTTTCCCTGGCGCTAACTTTTCAGCGCTGTCAAGCAGAGCACTAAGCGCCACTCTCCTGAAGACGTTCCCGTGAGCTTCTTTGATAAACTGGACCAGCTGGCGGATGTCACAGTACAGTCCCTGTTTGGAGGCAAGAAGAAGATTTGGGAGCAGTCAAGGTCACCAGAAAGCTGTGGAGAGATGTCCTGGGGAGAGAAGTCAGTCGCGTGGGTTTTGACAAGCAGCAGAGTCATGAAAGGAGGACAGCAAAACACCCCTGCAGTAATCGGTGTGTTTGCCTCTGCCAAACCTGCCCAGGACCCTATGCTGAGATTCCAGCCCTGTCCCTCCCTGCCCATTGCCAAGCTCACTCACCCACTATCACCCACATCCTAGCAGCCAGAGCAAGGCAGTTTCTAAAGATAAAATGGCCTTGTCTGGACAAACAACCACATGAGGGAGAACCTAGGGACTGGTACATAGTTCTCTGAAGCTGTATTAATTTCCCATTCTCCAAACACCCTATGTAAACTCCATGTATCTCCTCCCCTTTTAGCAAACATGCCTTTCCCACTGTGTCTGCCCCTCACTGTTAGAAATAAACAGCTATATCTGCTGAGGTAAAAACAAAAAACAAAACCCAGATGTGTTCGTTTTTCCCATTGTTCCTAGAGGAGAATGCTACTCTTCATATTCAGTAGAGGAAAGGATGGAGAGCAAGCTTCAAATTCATAGTCAGCTATACCACTTGGAAGACATCAGTCTATACTCTTGAACATGGGATGCCCAAGTTTTCCCTATTAATCGTGAGTTCCAAAGAGAACGATTTTTTTGGCAGAAGAAAAGCAGGAGGAGAAGAAGGGGGAAAAAGGTAACCAGAATTTTGTTCAGAATGGAAACTTCAGCCCCGAATAGCTTCTCCATATGGCCTGGATTATTATGGTTTTATGTGAAGTAATTAATTTATATACTTCTAATGAAGGTTGGTCATTGATAGGATGATGAACTTTCCTGGATGTACGTAGTAAATGATATGTATGCTGTAGTTGCACTGAGTATGATATGGCTATGAACCTAAGACTGTGCAGAGGGGCCTATAATGCCGGAACACTGGTGGGTTGACCTTTAAAAATGTGTATATACTTACTTTTCCTTGAGATACTAAGTTTTGCTCCATGACTCCCTTCTTTAAAGTGGTAGTTACTGTATTCTTCAGCATTGTGGTAAAAAAGAATTTAAGGACCTAAAAAAATTTACCTTGATACCTTTGTTTTCCGGAACCCTACTACAATGGGACAATTATGCCCATTATCTTTGAGAAAGCAGAAGGAAAGACCTTCAAGGATAACAGAAACAATGTCCATTGTGGCCTGTGGGGAGCAGGACCTTGAGTCCTGCAATCAGTTCCTCATTTGCTCATCCATGGAAGAGAAAGTCAGCTAAGAGCAAATTTTCTATTTTCACCAGGGCATGCAAGGGCCTACACATCAGCAGGGAGCACTGTCTTTAATAACAGCTACTGACAAGTGGCCGGGTTCTACTCACACTAGATACATTGCCTGAGACTTCGTGGAGTGGGAAACCTAAGAATGACTCATTTGACTAGAATTATTCTGGTAGGATAGCAGTTCATAGGCAAAGGTAAGCCTACGGATAAGTAAAGAATTTACTATTTGTTCTATGTATAAAGTTATAAATTAAGATTTGTAAGAACTCACATGCACCATAATCAGCTTTAAATATCATGTCTAGCCAGAACCGAAGCGAATGTATGAATGGTGTCTGTTACATTTGAGGTCCAGGGACACTGCTCGATTGCCATTGACCATAGCAAAAGTAATTTCCATTTGGTTTATGAAAGTTATGTTTATCTACAACGAACCACTTCACAGTTTAGGATAATATAAAATAATGTCCTCCATTTAGTAAAATATCAGCTAGGTCCATATGTGTAAAGGGGCTCATTTCTATATAGAAATCACAGCATCTAACAGACGTAGCAGGAATGCTCTTTTGGTCCCCAAAGGGACCTGAATTCACCTATCTGTGCCAAGTTTGTCTTCCTGTATCTACACTGAGTATCTCAAGACATCCTGTTCTTGGAAGGACTTGGACATTTCATAATAGTTTTCTCCCACACTACTTGCAACTTCATTTTCTGAATTACCAAATGCTTTTATTCAGAAGAGATAAAGATTATAATGTTCAATAAAAGAAAGTAAAACAAATTTCAATAGCATATTTGTATGAATTCTTGAAAGTAAATACAGTTTCAAATAACTCTTGGAATAACATTCTTTCATATTTCATGAATCAATAACGTCTTCTAGCTCCTTCTTTCTGAAAGGCTAACAGTACCTGTATCCCTGTCACCATGGTCAGCACAAGCCTATGTGGTTTGAAAGGAAGATGAGTGAACTGTAGGTAGGACAGAGGGTTAGGGCTCCATGGTGAGATGGGGTGACACTAGAAAAAAAGGGGTACGGTGACTTTTAGATGTCAGTTTTCCTTCTTCCAGGTCACAGGATGTGAGCCGCTGTTAGGAATGGGGGAACACTTCTCACCAGATTCTCAGGGCTGTGTAGCTCATGTGTGGTTGAGGCACAGCGTGTGATGAGGGACTTGAACATGGCACCGACGATAATGCCCTCCACATTTTGGGCTGTGGATTTGTTGTCCACTGTGGTGAAGTTATTTCCAAATCCAGCCTTATCTGGAATGCAAAGGCATGCGTTAAAGGCAATAAGCAACCCAGCTGAAGGATGTAAGGAGTGTTTCGCAGCTAGGAAACTGGGAAGGTCTGCATGAAAGTTCAGACATGGTGATTTAAGATTTACCAGTGTAATGATCCCTGTGCAGATTAGAAAAACAATCAGTCTACATCACAGTCTGTACTGTGATGTGGCCCTTGCAGAGGAGCATTTGGGTTGATTAATCTTAGAAAGGAAAGGCGGTCAAAAGAAAGAGGGGGGAGAGAAGGGAGGAGAGAGGAAGGAAGAAAGGGAGGGAGGGAGGAAGAAAGGGAGGGAGGGAGGAAGGAAGGAAGGGAGGGAGGAAGGAAGGAAGGAAGGAAGGAAGGAAGGAAGGAAGGAAGGAAAGAAGGAAGGAATAAAGGAAGGAAGTCCAATTTATTGGTTTCTCCATAGAGAAAATATAATGTGACTCCACCTTCTTTGGTGGGGAACTCTGGCTTTTTTAGGGGAAATTTTTCAGTATATCAGAAGCGGCATGAAACTGTTCATCATGAACTATGCATCATGGCCGAAGTGCTGGAGTCCTTGTAGAACTGTTGCAGGCCAGGGGAAACTGAGTCCTGCTAGCATTTGTTGTCAGAAGTTCTGGGCATGTGTGGGGAGGAAACACTTCCACTCTCCTTCGGCGCAACCTCCGTAACACAGGGCATGGAAAATGCTGGCGATCAAAAGGCTGTGAACCTCCATGGTAGTTTAGAGCTTTTTTTTTTTTTTCCCTTACATATCCACAGATCTCGAGAAGACACATATGTCTTTTGTGGCCGTGCAAAAGGAATCTTTATGACATGGGAGCCAACTGTGGATTGTGATGGATAAGGGGCTGTGCTGTGCTGTCCATCTGAGTCACTGTGACTCACTCTATGTCTCAAGAATCCTCAGAGGAACACAGCATGCTTGATTATCAACCCTTCACCGTCTGGACCGATAGATGAAGATTTATCTCAAGATTTACAATACTGAAAGTAATGCTGAAATCTGTGCTTAGAGTTCTTATATCAAATTAGAAATGAGATGGGGGAAGAACGGGGGAGAAGGGAGGGAGAAAGAGAGGGAGAGAGAGACTTAAGCTTATAATTTGTAAATTCTTTCAAAGATCTTGACTATAATCCTCCCTCAATGTTTTCAAAATTATAAAATGATTAAACTAGCTCTAAGAGAAGATGGTTATGACAAGGGGTCTACAAGGAAGCAATATTTTCTCTTAGTGTAATAAAATTTCTATTTAATGAGACAAATTAACTTGGGAGGACACCATGTGTCATAAGATTATTTGGAGACATCTCTTTGTTTTTATTACACACAGTCCCACATGCATATGGGAGCACATGTGAAGAAGCATGTATAATTTTTTTTTTTTCTGAGCTCTAGCCCCAGACATTGAGTGTGCCAGGGAAACACTACCTGCTTCACCTCACGGTGGCTGCTCCTCAGACTCAGGGGTGGCTTTACTTACTGTCAGTGACTGGCTCCATACAAAATCCTAGCAAAGCATGCAAGAAGTCCACTACATTATTGAGAGAGTCCTTGTTCACATAGTCCCTCATGGTTTGTCGGAACTGCATCTTATCTAGCTTGTATAGCTTAGTGAGGCAGTTCTGGGCCTGCAATGAAGGAAGAAAAGTGAAGAAGTCACAAGTACCAGCTTACGCTCCAGACACCGTTAGTCTGAGACAAAAGTTGCAGAAGGCAAAGACTCACTCCCCCTCCCTCATACCGCTGCCCGATCCTCTCCATGCTAGGCCAAGTCGTATGAATAAGAACTGGGCAGAAGCCGACTAGGCAGCCAGAAGGAGCTTGTATTTGTGAAAAACCACTCCTCAGAAAAACCCAAAGCTAATATTCAAGGCTGGTCCAGAAGAACTCAGTCTTTTCACCAAGGTCATGATTTTAAGATCTAAGAAAAATAACAAAAAATTGAAGTAAGTCATAGAATATATTGTCTACTCTCAGAAAAACCCAAAGGCTTTTTGCAACTGGAAAAAGCACATAACTTTCCTGCACGGGCACTCTGAACTTAGACAGGTTTAATGCAGAGAGTGAAGGCCTGCAGTAGTGAGTGGAAATCCAGTGACCATTCACATTTTTTGATTAACTAATTCATTTTTTTGAGACACGGCCTCAAGTAACCCAGTATGGCTTTGGATTTCTTGTATAGGTGAAGATGACCTTGAATTTCTAATCCTCCTGCATCCACCTACTGAATTCTGGGATTACAGATGTGAACCACCACACCTTGCTAATGTGCTACTGGGTATTTACTCAGGACGCTAGGCAAGTACTTTACCAGCTGAACTGTACCCTCAACTGTACAGTGACCTCTTATATGCCCAAGAAGGAAAAGGCATATAATAGGCATAAATATTATACTCATATATTATTTGTCTTTGAGCATGAAAGAAAGTATTGTATAAATAGAATTTGGTCTCATGACATGATCCTTCTGCTCAAAATAACAGTATATTTCCTACAGTCCAGTAAATAATTCTGCCTTCTTGCAAAGTAAGAGAATAATTCTTACCATCGACAGCATCAAAGTCCCTGTCACCGACAGCAGAGGTTCCAGACACAACATTCTCATACTATTGGGAACCCCGGGAGGCTGCTAGCTTCCTCCTACTATGAGCTTCCTCCTCATTTGTATGGTGCTTTGCTGTAAAACACATGTTTCTTGCATGAAAAGACACCAGGTCCTACTTTATTATTTCCTGATTTTTTTTTTCTTGCAATTGAAGAAACTGAGGTAGAAAGAAATCAAGGGTTTTGTCTAAGCTGATACTGTAAATTCTGTGGTAGAGTCAATACCAGAAGTCAGGGTCACGCCTACTGAGGTGTAGTTCTCCTGGGAAATAGTCTCATTAACTCTTCAGACATGGATGGTCCTGAGAAACTATACTTAGATACCAGCCACTCATAACAAGGAGTTGAGATGACTGATACTAGAGATTTACTGATGCCTTGAAGAAGGCTATATGAACAAAAGAGACAAGAAAAGTCCGGAAGATGGGATGGAATGGGGAAATGGCAGAGGTGTCTGGGCTGAGAGAGAGGGCCAAAGGATCAAGAAAGGAGATGCAGCTGCGGAGACCACCTTGAGGATGGAAAACTCAAGTCGGGTGTTGGCATTGAGGGAGGAGATCTCTGAGAACTGGAATCCTATTGATGAGCTTTTACAGTGACCCAATAGAAAATTTAGGTTGTGTTACTATTTGATATGGTTGTGACCCAGGAAAAATACTTGGACATTTAAAAGGGAAAAAAAATAGTGCAAAAGGAACTTGTAACTCACTAGATAAGCCTTTTGGTATGATCCTGCTATAGTCTCTCTATCTGTACCAGTGAGAATTTTTTTTCATTCTTCCTTCACTGTTTTAGAAGATTTTGAAATCAAGATTTTTTTTTTATTCCAGAGAGTTTTCTATTTACCATATCTCAAAAGGTCATGTTTCTTGTCTTTTTATTTCTATAAAATAGATGCTGCTTTGTTATAAAGTGATGTTTAGGAAGTGCTTAAGCACAATGTGAACTGTACCAATTTATCTATCGTTCCGTACATGATTTATAAAGATCTTCACCGTCGTATTTATAAAGGGAATAAAAAAACTAAGCCTCTAAAGTACAAATTACTTCATGTTTTGTATAAAACACACCATGAAGGTATAGTTTCATATCTCTATTGTGAAAGCTACAAGTCTATCTACAATGCTGTGAGAGTTCAATGGGAAATTTAATCAAGTTTGAAGTTCTCCACTCTTAAAAATTCTTATTCTGAGTAAACAACCTACTTTTCAAGAAATATAAAAACATTAATTAATGTCTTTTCAATAATTTGGAACTAATAGTAAATCATTAGAGAGATTGCGTGTTAGACCCTTTAGACACTTTTTATATTTTGAAGACATATAAAAGAAGTATTAACCAATGAATTTCTTTTCAATAATTTGGGACTACTAACAAAATTAGATTAATAAATTATGGATTATTATGGGTGTTAGAACCATTAGGCACTTAATTGTAGTGATTAGAGAGTATCACTACAATAATCTTATATATTCTTAACAATGGATTGTTGTAAAGGTGAATATATTCTTAACTTTTCAAGAGAGATTATGTTTGAAAGAGTATAGTTCTTAAGCTAGACACTTTCCTGGGAAAGTCTCTCAAACTTGTGCATATAATATTTATAAAGAATACAAAAGAGGTCTAGAAAACCAGAAAGCAATCGGTCAAGAAATCAGGTTAAAAAGGTAAGTAGAAAATTGGCTGACCAGTTTCAGAAACACAAGATATTCTAGGCCATGTAATGATAGCAACCTCTCTTCTGACCCGACTAGTCCTGCTTTCCATCAATTCAGAAAAACAGAGTATGACTCTCGAAGCCAGTTTACGCCTACAGGAAGATGCTTCTTTTTATAGTTTCAGTTGAATTAGGTGAAATTGGTCTTCTGTATGAGGTATGATGTGTTTTCATTAACTTTGACAGTTTTTATTCATGTTGTAACAGAATTTTGATACAAGAGAAGTTTTTATTGCCTTATTAATTGTTTTGATATTTTTAAAGTTTTGGTCTCAAAATCTAGATCTTGGTCAAAATGTCTGAGTTGGGGAATTTAAAAGTTAAACATTGTGACTATACCTCCCATATACACAAAATAAATCAAAATGCTATAACATAATTGAATATAAAAGAAAGAGAAATGGATAAATCAATGGATGGTAAATGATACATTAAGCGAGAAATCTAGCATGCTAATACTGTATGAACATTTCATGACAAAACCTACACCAGAGAAAATAGGCTGGCATCAGATTTTGACATGATCCTAAAACTCTGCAAAGATATGTCAGAGAGATTTGTTCTCAAGTTTGTGTGAAATTTTTATTTTTAAAAGAATATTTTCTTATAATTTTAGTTCCAAGGTAGAAATGAGGCAACTAGCCTGGATCAGGCTTGTTGGAGGCAGGTTCTTGCTCACGTCAGAAGGGAAGGTAGCAGCTGGTAGATGCAATCAAACGTGAGCTATAATAGAACACATTCCCTTACTGCTGTCCAGTGACAGCCCATATGCAGAGTTTCAGGTTTCATACAGTTCAAAGAAACATGAGCTCAAACATAAAGAAGATGAGGGGCATTCTCAAGCAAAGCAGCCAGATGCTTGGCTACTTTTACAGTCCTGTTTTGTCTCAATAAGGGCCACTTTCCATTTCTAAATAAGAATATCAATGCCTTTGACCCCTCCTTCTTATGTGAAATGCTTCATTGTTACCCAGATGATCGAAGGAGCCTCTGCACAGATCACCAGATGTTTACTAAATGTATGCATCTGTGCAAAGTTCTTTCAGACTTCTATTTAGATGTTCTGATTCTGCACCCCTTTTCCAAATGCTCTGCAACGGCCAGGAGGCAGACCAGCTTTCCCAGTTAAACTTTCCTAAGCCTCAGTTTTAGATGTCTTGAGATGCCTTGTGGGAATCCTCTCACCCAAAGGTGGTATTGGTTGCCTATGAAATACAATATTTTCAGGAACATTGACCCTCATTGTCAAAGGACTCATTCATCATTTGGAAGTATGGAAGAGAGAGAGAGAGAGAAAGAGTAAATGGAATCTACTTTAATTCTCTTACATTCTCTCGGAATACCTGGTGTCTCAGACGATCTCCAGAGAGCCCCCGGTGTCCTTCTCCGCAACCATAGGCACATCCCAAAGACTTCACTATTTTGATGAGCATAGTGAGAGCAAGCCTATGGTTGCTTACAGGTATATTTTCATCCTAGTAACCATGATTGAGAAAGAAAGAGAAGCCTATTGACTTTGCCACCAAGCATTTTGGGTACCAGAATTCTATTTTATAAAATTAATGTGTGTTATGTCAATTTAAAAAATAAAGTTATCAAGAGTTCAACAAACACACTTTTTAAAAAAGTAGTACATGAACCAACAGAAAAAAATTGCATTCTGAACATCCCATGATGACACATAATTTGGATGTGTTTACTATAAGACATACTTTCACATCCTTGATGAATGATCAGAACTACAACATAGAGAGAGACAGTGGGATGATCAACAGGGAACACAAAAAGGTTTTCTTAGAGACTATCTTTATCAGTATGTTTCTGATAACACCACTAGGCAAAGATAATTATTAGCTCTCTGGAACTGATCAAAGTCTGGAAATCTTATGGTAATAAAATCGACATTTTTGGAGAAAAACTTCCCAAGGTGTACTTCCATCATATTGCAATACACATGGTAACCACAACAAAGTAGACTGTATAGAACTCAATAAATACTCAGCTGGACTCTTGAGATTCATCCAGAAGCTCTCCTGAGATGAATTATGAAATTTATCTTTTGTCTCTCTTACTTTTGGAGAATGGAAAACAGGGATTTCCCCCCAAAAAGAACTAGAATTCTTTCTATAGAAGAATACATAAGCTGTTACTGAGGAATAATGCTGAGCGCACAGTGGGAGGGCCCTTGTTTTAAGTAGTTGAAGGTTCCTTAGTCCTTCTGGCTATGCTCAACTGTCAGCATGTGCATCATGGAGCCAGGAGCTCATGGTCCATAGTTGCTTATGGTGATTCAAGACAATTGCATAAATTAACTAAGCTTTATGTGTTTTACTTTTCTGCCTGTGAAGTAAGGGTACTGATGGCTATCCTTCCCATATCATAGGTTTTCCATAGAGACCAAACGAAATAGGGGAAGGGAATCACTCCACAATCATGAGGTGTTTTTTTCTCCCATTAGTCACACTGTTGACAAAAAGAATACTGCAATGTGGGCATAGTGTGAAAGGACTAGGGGTTCCAGCAGCATCACCATCCACTCTAACATAGGAGGTGGAATCTCTCCCTTTCTAACATTACCCAACTGGTCCTCCTCCTCTTGTGTGCAAACTCAAGAAGCAGATGTGGGATGGTGCCCTAGAGAGCACACTTCAGGAATAAAACATCTCTGAGTGATAGAAATATTGTTGGTTAACCTGCCTCAACTGAAGACCTCCTCCCAGTGCAAAGTTGCCTCTATTAACCGTTCAACATCCTGTTGTTTGCCTGAAGGAACTCTTTCTCCAGTGGCTAGTCGGGGCACAAAGTAAGAAGGAGTTAAAGGTCACTTTACATCACCTGGTGACTGCTTTGAAGAATCATCCTTGAATCCAAAGAAACTCTGTAATTATTATTTGCTAAGTAAGAAATAATTTTTAGTTTGGATCCAGATTTTAACTTCAGTATTTAACAACTATGTAATCTTGTGCAAACTGTTAATATTTAAGACCCCATGCTTTCTAAAAAGGGATCCACGTTAATGCCTGCGTTATAGAGACACTGAGAGGTAGGTGACAGGATGTGGTGTCCACAACAAGAGCAAAGCAAGCACAGCATTGTTTACGGGCATGTGTCACTGCTGTCCCTGAGTTACTTGTAAGGACAGACTAAGACTGATTGGATTTGTGTCCTCACTGCTCCCCTTAGTTGAGCACCTTTGGGTAACTCAGGAACACTGCAGCATTTTGTAGCAGCATCTTGGGAAAGGTCAGAATGACAAGGGTTTCTCTGGAAGGTTGATTTACATAAATTTTAAAATTATTATATGCTCTTTAAAAGCTTTTCTAGCCCCGAGAACTCTTTGTACACATCCATCCAGGCTTTATTTCTCTAGGCCTCCAGATGTCCTTGGGAGTTAGGTTGCTTTCACTGGAGACATGAAGAAAGATGCATCAAGCTACAGGCAGAAATTAGAGTTATTAAATGATATTTTAAGCTTTTATTATAGGCTAGAGGCCAATAAAGAAATAGAAATTAGCTTTCCCTTTCTTTCTGAGCCCTGGATAGCAAGTTGAAAAGCAGATTAAACTCTAATTCCATAGAAAATAACAGATAGTTTTAAGGTAAAATAGATTTTTATAGATCTTAAAGTCTAATTGCAGTTTGATTAGTGACTACATAATATTTACATCTTGGTTACTGTTACATCATTTTGGTCAAAATAAGATTTATTGTATCATGCTATAATATTAAATATAATAATTACTATAGTTACTTACTATAACTAATAATTATATATAGTTGCTTAATTATAGTTATATAATTAAATTAATTGTTCACATAGTTATTAACTAAACGTATTTAAGACAATATTTAGACAGGATACATGATTAAGACAAGAGTAGAAAATTCTAAATAAAATAGTAAGAACCCAAGAATATTGGAATAGTTCTGTGGATCAGAGCTCATGAATTTTGGGGAGATATAATCAAATTGTGAGGTGAAGAAATAGAATATTAACAGAGCAAACATGCACTGCACCAGTGGGGCTATAGGTAGAAAACAGAGAACTATTCATTTATATATTAAAATCTGATATGGAGAAACTCAGACAATCCAAAGTTTATGTAACAAATTGCAGAAGCATTTACAATGTAATCTTTTACTTGTAAACTTAGCATGATATATTTATTGTCACCTGTTAATAATTCTCTGGTTTATTTCAACTTATGAGTATCAATTTCATGCTAAAACCTCCAATTGGAATCAGTGCAAGTTATGAGAATTTAAATGGTGATGATTTGTATCTAAACTTCAAAATGACAGAAAAGAAATTCTTGATAAATCAATAGAGCGTAAGGCATGATGATAAGCGGCGAAAATGAAATTTGGGAACAGCCAATGAGAATCAGATAAAAGCCTCAGGGACATGACACCGAGACTCAAGAGAACTGAGACTGCATATCTGTTCCCATACCAACGTGTGTCAAAATAACAGGAAAAGTTCAGACTGCTCGATATCTGTGTCTCTCAAATTCAAACACTAAAGCCTTAACTCTCCCTCTGTTGGTGTTTGGAGACTGGCTTTGGAAGGTAATGAGAATTAAATGATAGACAATGGTGTCCAGAGCCAGGGAGCCTCATAGAGAGACTGGAGTTCTCAGCGTTTGTCTGCACTTGCGTAGAGAAGGTCATGTGAGCACATAGTGATGGCGGTCACCTTCTGGTCCAGAGAAAAGGCTGCAGGAAACTCTGCTTGCACCAGAAGTTTGGACTTTACAGCCTCTATAAATGCAAGAGGTCAATGTCTACTGATAAATCTATGTAATTTTTGTAGAGTCTCAGTAAATGGCTGCTAAATTAGTAAGCTAGATACGCAAAGTCTTGAGACGTGAGCTATCCTTGCTGTCAGACTGAATTGGGATAACATAGTAGGTTTAAGATGCTATCTTACAGAAATAATATTACCAAGAGAACAAAACAACCAACAAACCAAACAAATAAACAAAACAACAACAACAAACCAGTTCTAACATTCATGGGTGACAACTTTTAGATGTAGAAGCCAAACTCATCTAAGTTTCTACATATGCCTACCGAACGTGTCATTAAAAAAATTCTACCATTATTGCTTTCAGACTCTAGGGACTTCTTGTTATTCTAATAAATATTATTATTATTTTCTGGGGAAAATAAGCAAAACTACATACACACACACACACAGGCATGTTCACATACACACACCCACAAATGGAAAAGAATTCTGGACACCAAAATGCCTGAGAATACAGCAGATACACATTCAAACATACCTTCTCTTGGTTCTTCTCATTCTTCTCATAAGGACCACCTCCTCCTCCTCCACCTCCTCCTCCATCCCCTCCACCTCCGCCTCCTCCGTCTCCACCTCCTCCTTCTCCTGCTCCACCATCTCCAGCTCCACTAGCGGAAGGGGCTCCAAATCCGCTGGTGGAACTTGAAGACACGCCTTTGAACTGGAAAGTCCCCTCGCTTGGTCTCTTTTCCACGGTGTCGTTTTCCTTGTTTTCACTTTTCTTCCGATTTTTCTCTACACAGGGAACTACCCCAAGTTGAAGCAAACATTCCACGATGTTTAGTGCCACATCACAGATGCGAGAACTGATGTCATGGTTAAGGACAAGATAAACAGCCTTCAGAACCACCTGCAGAACACAAAGGTAAACACAGAACAATGAAGTTGCCTGCATTTCCTTTTCCAAAAGTCTCTCATTCTGTTTAATCCATTTCACTTGGTGCTAGTAGAAATGGTTATAAATAATTCAGGCAGAAGAATTAAAGACATTTAGTATCTCATTAAGCCTTTCAATCTTGCCAAGAAAGAAATAGTTGATGGAAATAATAAAGCACATTGAGTTAAGTTTTAAAAAAATTCATTTGCCCAAATGCACACTTAATTGACTTTTTAAATACAAAACATTTTAATCCTCTGCATTTCCCTTTCCACAAATAATAAAGAGCAAAGGCTTCCTTAGACTTACACCCAGGGACCTTGACTCCCTCACGCTTGTATCATTATTTAGCCTCCAATTTTAAATGCATAATATTTGAACGTTTAAATTATGATCCTTTATTGGTTTTAATATCTTAAATTATTTATTGAGCCTGGTTCCATACAGCGCAATAAAAAATGTTGGTAAAATATAACAACGCTTTCATTGGTTAATGACTGTACTCAAAACGGGCACCCCTGAGAATGCAAGCTGAAGTCTTTCAAGGACTTCTATTCATTCCTTGTTCCTTCTGGCTTTGTGGGAGGCTCATAGTCCCGGGGATTATATAACTAAGGAAGAAGCACAGAAGTGTAGTGGAGCATACACTTAAATGTGTCTACATATGTGCATTCGGATTCACCAAGGTTTTAGACAAAACACATTCTAAGATCAAATATAATAAAATACTTGGAAAAAACCCAAAATGTACATTAAAGATGGTTGATATTCCTGTGTATTTTTATATGGGTTGCTTCTTCATTTTAAGATTCAGCTAATACTTCTAAGATATCTGCTTGCCTATGTTACCCAATGCTCTTAAAATTACACTAAAGTCTTTCTCATCTTTATAAGTAAAAATACTGCTCCTTACAGAAAGATCCAGCATTCCGTTCTTATGGACAAAGTTGTTGGTCCCATCGATATGCTCTGTGTCCTCCAGGTAGCTGTAGTTAATGCAGGAATCTGTGAGGCTTCGGGGCAAGTTTGCGCATGCCAGAGGTTCGTGCGGCATCTCTGGGATAGGCACTTGGCTGCAGAGTTTCCGCATATGCTCACTGAAAAAGTCCGCATAGCCGACATTGAAGGATGCCAGCGTGGTGTTGAAGGTGGCAACTGTGATGGTGGAGATCTGTGACCGCACTGGGAAGACAAGAGCAAGGTTTCAGCTTCCTCACGTGGACCCGATCCACCAGTTAGACTGCTGTGCTACTTCTTACATTGTGACCATTTTATTTATTTTAAAGATAATGGACTATTTTCAACTTGCATGGAAGGCCGTGTAGGCAATCGGATGTCTGACAGGTAGTGAAGGGCATAGAGAACTGTGATCACAAACATTCTCCTTAAGACTGAAGCTAGAATTTAAATTACATAACGATAACTGAGGTTGATAACATTCAACTCAACATACTTAAGTTGATTACATAGGCTATTTACTGTTACATGACAGCTCATTGATATAAACCGATTTGAGAGCTTTTTCTATAAGTTTATGGCTGCTAAACTAAACATCAGAAACTTGAGAAAGAAACTAGTAGGGGATGGAGATGGGGAGGATGCCCTGGTGTGGATAGGGACTGGAAGGAGACAAAAAAGGTCTAGGGGTGGGGCGGGGAGAATAGTCAGAACATACTGGATACATACTTGAGACTGCCAATCAGTCAACCACAATGCAGCTCAGATTTGTAATGACAAATAATAGACACCACTGAATACGTATAGTGCAGTTTGGAACAAAGGGGATCAAGGGGTAAAGTTTATGTTAACGTGAGAGCATGGCAAGAATGAAAAGAACAAACAGTTCTGCTGCAAGTAAAGAGTAAGAAGCTGTGCACCACCCAGAGACACACATTTGCTCCACACGAACCACCAAGATCAAGCAGCAGCTGTCGGCAAAATGATCTGGTGGCCTTAGAGAGGTTAGACTTCCTTCGCACTGATTTGTAGGAGCTGCCTGCCTTGGAGGTGTAGCATGGAGGTGGACAAGCAATGAATCTAGACATTCTCCAGCCTTTGGGCTTATGATCTTTTAGAATATGCACGAGTGCTTTGTCCTTGTTCTTCTCCTGGAGGTCTGGTGCTCCTCAGGCACTGCCAAACGTCCCCTGCTATAAAGCTGTGCTAAGAATAGCTAACACTCACATTTCTGAGCAATGCAAATGAAAGATGCAGGGTTTTGAAAAGACAAGGATGCGGAGAACAATCAACCTGGGATGCCTGATGTTTGTATATCAATTTGTCATTCCTAGGTGCCATTCCTAGGCTGGTTGTCTGGGTTCTATGAAAAGGCAGACTGAGCAAGTCCTGAGGAGCAAGCCAGTAAGCAGCACCCCTCCATGGCCTCAGCGTCAGCTCCTGCCCACAGGTAGCTTCCGCACCTCAGTTCCTGTTCCGACTTCTTTCTATTAGGAGCAGTGACCGTGGAAGCATAAGCCAAATAAACCCTGTCCACCTCAGGTTGCTTTTGGTCACAGTGTTTCATCACAGCATTAGAAGCCCTAGGTCGGCTGTGTGTGCGGATAACAGTTTAAGAATGGGAAGCCGCGAAAGACTTCTGCACCTTCCCTATCCTGCCTACAGCCCGTCACCGGCGCTCGACCCACCTTCCTTGACAGTGTTTTCTCCGTGGCTGTTGGAGTGGTCTGGGAGGTCGCTCACCAGGGTGTGGTGGGAGTGCGAGGGCCGGGCACCCAGGCTTTCCACTTCAGTGGCTGCATCTGAGCTGCCCCGCCGGGTCAGTTTCCCTGAGACGGATGAGAGTGTTACTAGACGCTTTTAAAATCTAGATGCTCTCTGCTGAGAGGGTTTTTTTTTTCCTTCTAGAGGACAGCAATAGAATGAGAGTGTATGAAGGTGAGCATGAAGTCCAACCAAAATAGCAAGAATTGGACTTGACTTGGGAATAGTCAAGGTCAAGTTAACAGATGAGACTGTCTGCGATAAGGTCAGACCCAATCTAAGCCCAATGTCAGAGACCATCTGTTGTGGCTTGTACCTGTCAGCTTCTGATTTTAAGCTTCCCTTCTTAATATGCCATCCAAGGGGGATGGGTTACTATTTCCTTTGCTTTATTCTTTATTAAATAAAAGTAAATAAAATTCTGTCATTAGATGAAAAATGAAAATTAACATATAGAATCCTCTATGGCTATGTTTCTATGTCTATAAGGATCTAAGAAATACGGCTTTTACTGGATAATCATAGAGGAATCTTGCATAATTAATAAATTATCTGCATTTCTTTGGTTGTAAAAACCTAACATCATTTTAATACTGCGGAACTTGCATTTGGGCCCAATGTTCTTGAATAAATTGTTCAAGAAAGAGTAATATTTGGAAGGGATCTTAGCTCCACATTCACAATTAGGTCCCTTGGTCTATGCCCTACTGGGAAGATCTTTGTAGTCACCTAAGATGGTGGTTTGCCAGCCTCCCTTTTCGATGCCTCTCCTGTCTTCTCCAAGTCCAGAGAAGCTTCCAAATGAGAATGTGCTTCTGGTGGGTGAGACATCGAGGTGGCCCTCGTGCAGCAGGAACGGCACCCCCATTCTTCTGGGGCGCCTCTTCCCCGTGTGGTGAAACGGAATAGAGCCTTTCCTCTCTCGGTCTTCTTTGCGACTTTTGAACTACATTCATGAGAGAAGAAGGGAGACACAAGACAAAGGAGACATAAGAGTGAGCACAGGATATGTTCGAGGAAGAGGACTCACAGGGTGTTATTGGGTATCATTTAGTAATCGGGGAAAATGTCACAAGGATGTTAATGGAGGGGGGGGAACTAAGCAAAATGTTATATTTTCTGGAAGTCTTTCTGCTGGGTGAGTTTGAACACCGGTTCTCACAGAGAAGACCCTGAACCATCAGCAGTAGCATCCTTTGGGAACTTGTTAAAAACTGCAGCTTGCAGCTTCAACCTCAGACATCCCTAACATCTAAAATTCAGAAGGAGAAGTCTGGTGATCTACGACTTAACAAGCCCTGTGGGTGCTTCTGATCCCTGAAGCACTCAAGGCCGAGAACCACTGGGGTAAAGAATCAGTGTCCCTAGTCACTGCTTGGTTCTGTCTCCTTTGACTCTGTTCTGCTTTCCAAGTTTGAGGTCTGGTTAGTAACTTCACTGTTCACAAAGATGATCAAAGAAGACACATAAGAGACATTGGTACAAATTTATTTTTCGTACCAAAGGCATTTGGGATTAAGGATAAATCAGTTTAGAATGGCTTCAAAAGCTTTAAAACCACACCCATGTCTGAACCTAGCATTCAGCAATTGACTTTGACTATATTATTCTAGGCTCAGGCCCAGGCACTTTGATTTTGAAAGCACTAAAATACCTATTTGCAGCAAGAATAGAAACATACACCTTTTCCCCCCTCTCAAATAGTCAATGTTTTTAGAAGAATGATGGTCAGTGCCTACTGCTGTGTTGTTAGTGAAGGAGACACAACTCATTATTTAGTAAGGGGTTGAGCTGATAGACAAGTAAATACCTGTTTCTGTGTTCCTCACGAACGCAATTAAACAAATAATTTTGAAAAAAAAAGGAAAACAAAGCTGCCACACACACACACACACACACACACACACACACACACACACCATTTTCTAGTTGATTAACTCTATATAATGATGAAAGATAGACAAACTGCCTAACATTTCTGTGGGTTATTTTCTGTCCTGAAAATCTGAAGAATAGTCTCTCACTGGATTAAGCAAGAATTACTTGTATGAAGTGTCTGATAAATGAAGTGGAGCCGTAGGAAAGAAAACCAGCAGCACTGCACCCGCTTCCTCTTCCTGATAGCACACTGGACGCCAGCATGGGCCTTCAGGATAACTGTGTAGAACGTCTAGAATAGGACACATGCACACACACACACACATTCACACACACGCATGCACACGCGCATGCACACACACACACACAGAGACTCATATGTTACTCTGTAACATGGTTACAGAGTCATGCTGTGAGTCACTGTTACACTTAGAAGCTGGTATTTTCTCCCTTTTCCACCCCTGCATCCTGTGATAGGTTGAGGGCTGTGTGCCCCTCTGGCTTTCTAAATCGCTGAGATGTCAAACACATACTCACCTTCTTAAAGATGTTCATGCCCAGGTCTGAAGACAGATCTGGGACCGCAGATCTTCGAAGATTGGTCAGTGAAACCTTGGAAAAAGCCTCGGGGCTTAGAGACTTTTCTTCTTCATTACACTTCATGGTGAGATCCTTAACAAACAATAAACATGGAATATGACTAGGGACTTAGATAATTTCAATATTTATTTCATTGAGGTATTGCCTTTACAATTGCTTCATGACTTTTGTTCTGAGTTCGATAAAAATTTTTAGCTTGCATGTTTGAACTTCTTGAATTTAAATTATGCCGTTGCAAAAAATTAATTTCCTGTCACTATCATAACTTCTGCTGCAAATCTTAACACTGAGGCCATTTAACCAAAGATCCAAAAATAATAAGAGTATAGGGAGAAGATACATACTTTTTATATAAAACATTTTCCATATAATATACTTTGATCATTTCTCCTTCTCCAAACTCACCCATATCTTTCCAACAGGAGAGTTTTCTGGTTAATAATTTATGAAAGGAGATGCTAATTGTGGGAGGATGTCTACTGCCAAAGAATGAGCAGGAAAACATTTTCAAAATGACCCACTCAAGTTTAACTACAACCAAAGAGCTGGGATGCGCTGCAAGCTAATAATTTCTCTATATTTTCGCCATGTGGAGCTGATGAGAAAGATGGGAAGATCTTCATAGGAATGTTACTGCACCAGGGTGTTTTCAGGTTATTTCTCTCAATATTCATAATAAATTGTAAGCCTGTATATCAAAAATTATTATTTATATTGGTAGCTTTGAGATGCCTAAGATTTTGAGTTGGGCAAAAAATTAATTTTGAATCACAATCTATAAAATGCTAATTTCCTACTTTATGATATTAAATTATGAGACTACATGTCAGATCCTTATTCTAATTATTTCTCTGATTTTCTAGGAGACCCAATTTTAAATGTTCTGGTTAAACAAAGGCTTATACTAAAGTATATGTACAAAAGGCACACTTTTGTAAATATAGGATACATATGTATTCTGTACAAAATGGTAACTAGAGATAAGAATAGTCAAAGGTTCTGGCCATGCAAAAGAGGAGAAGGATATTGACAGGAGAGTTAGTCACCAACAAAGTTTTAGGTGTGAAATTGCACAATTGCTTGAAGCCAGAAGAAAAGAATGTGTTACAGCTGATGTTGTTAGCCAAAGTGATAATGAACCAGGTTTGTCTCACTTGGGTCTTGTGGGTGTTCACTAGCGAGGGAGCCGCTGCCACCATCGAGCTACTTCTGGGTCTGGGCAGGAGAGGAATATCTGGTTCTGGGGTCTTTTGTGGCTTCTCTTCCAGCATATGTCGCAGCCTTTGTAGATAGTACATCAGGGACCACTGAGTGCCTTCCTCAGACCAGTGGGGCTGAAGAAGACAGCGGAGAACAGCAACATCGAAGTAGGTGGCATAGCGGGACCTCTGGCATGGTGGTATCACAAGAGAGACCCTGTTCCCAGTGACAGAGAAAAGATAATTACACTGGCACCAAGTCTTCCAGGGGGCAACATAATACTCTAAGGCTCCCCTGGCATCAAGTCTTCCCAGGGACAACACAACACAGTCTGAGGCTCTCCTGGCACCAAGTCTTCCCGGGGACAACACAACACAGTCTAAGGCTCTCCTTTTTTTCTTAATTCACTTATTCACTCATTACTTATTCACTTATCCGCTCATCTCTTGCATGGTTCGTGCTAATGACCTCCTAACTAGGTTAGCTCATTCCACTTTGGTTTAGCATTTCTTTTTTTTTTTTTTTTTTTTTTTTTAGTAAATTTTATTAAATTATAAAAGTTTCCATTTCCGCCCCCCCTCCCAACACCCTCCCACTCCCCCCAGTCCCCCCCTCCTTCCCCTCCGTCCCCCAGGGCAGTCAGGGTTTCCTGCCCTGTGGGAAGCTCCAGCTCCCTCCCCCTCCCTCCAGGTCCAGGAAGGCGAGCGTCCAAACAGACTGGATCCCCAAAATCCAGCATATGCAGAGGAAACAGGTCCCAGTGTCATAGTCAATGGCTTTTCAGAAAGATCCCGGGCCAGCCACAGTCAGCATTTCTTAAAAACAGAAACATTGAGAGTTTTGAAGGATGGGTAAGAAATTAGCAATGAAAAGTTGGTTCAGGAAGATAAACTGGTATTTGAAGTCAAAGGAAACCATGCCTAGAAAGGTCTTGATTAAAAAGCTTGCAAGTTGAGGATGGGGCATTATATGCTGGTGGCACAGTTGATGAGTAATTCATGTGGCAGGCAATGATGACAGCTGGGGACAAAGAAACTGATGAGGTTCAAGTTATTAAGTTTTCTAAGCTGTCAGGTATGACGACAATAAAAGCAGAGTGGTATTTTTCTTACTGTCTTGGGCAATTTTAGGTTCAGAGTGAAAGTATTATGTAAAAAAACAAACAAAGGAATAAAAACAAGACAAAACCCAGAAACATTCTAAACAAACCAACGTTTGATTATTATGAAAATTAATCATTTTGAAAATTCTCAAGTTACATATATATGTAAGACTGCAAAAGTAACTTTAAAATTCTCAAAGTTCCAGGACGCCACTACTCCACTTAGATGCATGATTAACTAATGATCAGTTTACTAAAGAATAAGTCTTTAGTAATTACCTAGATTAATACACCATGTTAAAGAATAGGTCTTTAGTAATTACCTAGATTAATACACCATGTTAGGTATCTTAAGAGAATTGGATTGAGTATTTTTGTCCTTGGAAATTAGTATTTTCAAATCCCAATGTGCTAGTAATTAGGTGTGGGGATAATTAAGTCATGAGTCTTCACAAGTGGGTATAACATCCTTTACACAAAACATTTCAGGGTGCCCTCTTGCTGTCTTCCTATCACACGGAAACACCAGAAGCCTGCAGCCAACACCCAAAGTCAATTATCCTGATGTCCTGATCTTGGATGTGCAGCCTCTAGGATTGTCGGATGGTGTGGGAGAATTGTCTGTATTCTGTCAATCATGTATTTTAATAAAACGCTGATTGGCCAGGCAGGAAGTATAGGCGGGCCAACCAGACAGGAAGTAGAGGTGGAGCAATGAGAATAGCAGAAGGCTAGCGAGGAGGAAGCTCCCTCTGCCATTCCTGCGCAGATCACCGAAGAGGCAACATGTGAGCTGTCACACTGAGAAAGGTACTGAGCAGTGTGGCTAACATAGATAATGATAATGGATTAATATAAGTTACAAGGACTAATAAGAAGCCTGACCTAATGGGCCAATCAGTTTATAATCTTATGAAGTCCTGTGTATGATTTTTTTTGGGGGTTGCCGACTTGTTGGGGTGCCAGACGGGAACAGATACCCCAACAAGCTGGCCATCATTCTATAGTCAGAGACACATTTTTCTTGTTTAGAAACTGCTCAGGCTGTGTCACAGCTGTGGGTGTAAAAGCCTGTCTTGTGGAACATACCGTCCGGTCAGAATAATAGAAAATAAATGATACAATAAAATCAGCTTTCAGGGAGCTGAGGCCTCCTGGGATCTAAACTGGAAACTTGATCCCCAAACACAATTTTCTTCCAAGTTAGATGATGCAGAAAGTAAGTTTCGACACCATCCCCACACAAAGAAAGACCTCTTGAAAGAAAATGCAATTGAGAGTGAGGAGTAAGTTTCCTGAACGTCCAAGGTCCTGATGTTGAGGATTTCAATGTTTGTTCATTTGTCTGCCTGCTTGTTTGAAACAGGTCTCCATAGGTAGCATAATCTGGCCATAAACTTATGATTCTCCTAACATAGTCTCCCAAGCGCTGAATTATAGACATGTCTTGAACTGAAGATCTATAATTTATCAGTGGTTTAAAATGAACAAAGCAAGATGTGGTTATAGTTAGCCTGCTATTGAAAATAAATGGCATGAAATAGGGGTTTGTGTGTCTGGTGGGACTTTGGTTCTACTTCAAAGTTTCATCAAAAATTATTAGTCAAACACACACACGCACATACACACATGACACATGCACACACACACACACACACACACACACACACACTACAAATGAAGGTTGTAGAAATATTTTTTAAAAATACAAACCCAGGTCACATCTGGTACCCTGCTTGTCATTTTTACAGCCCTTTCCACTCTCTTATCGAAGCACAGGACCCGCTCCTGCTTCTATTAGCATCAACAACATCCTCTGGAATACTGAGTGACAGCTGTCCACATAAATGAAAGTTCTGAATGTCGTTGTTGCTTTTAAAAAAGCATTCTTCAAATATCATTGCATTTGTTTATTGGATATGTTTGCATGTGTGTGGGTGACTGCACCACTGTGGGTGTGGGAAGGTGAGAAGACAACTGTGGCAGTCAGTTCTCTCCTACCATGCGGGCTAAAGAGATCAAACTGAGGCCTCCAAGCTTGGAGGCAAATGTTCTTAACTGCTGAGTCATCTCTCCAACCCTTGGTGTTATCTTATAGTTGATTATTCTGGATAATTTAGATAACAAGTAGGAAATTAAATTTAAGAAGTTCAAGCACTTTAGATGTCACATACTAAATTATATCTATGACTAAATTATCTATCTATCTATCTATCTATCTATCTATCTATCTATCTATCTAT